TAACTTACTGTAACTATCATAACTTAACATATTGGGTGAGTATTTTGATAGATGTTAAATTACAGAATAAAAAATTATTATAAACTAAAGGTAACTATATCTATGAGGATATTTTGGTTGTAAGAAACATTGATGATGATGTATACACATAATAAAGGAATATACACATGCACTCACTATCCTCCTAAACTGAAAACAGTACTTAGTAAGAATAAAAAATGGCATATAACATACTATGTGATAAAGACTCTGGGAGAAAGATTTCTCTATATGCCGATACATCTTCTAGTGTAAACACAAAACACTGGATATATGATTGAAGTTTGTAAAAACTGGGATTGATTGTTTACCTGTACTATTAGAAAACTGTGCTGTCTATCTCTAAAAAGATACTCATTTTGGGGGAGTTTTGTAAATGTTCAAAATTCATTATCATAACACATGGGCATTTTTCATTCATATTCTTCTTTAATTTGGCATACAGATTAGAATGTTAATACTTATTTATATTGATTTTGTTTCATCTAAAATAATAATAAACTTCTATCCTAATAAAGAAGAAAAAATATGATGCAAAAGAAATTAAGAGACAAAGAAACTCAAAATACAGGGGCTACCAAAAAAATGTATACACATTTAAAGAGATGTTATCTATGTATTACTTTTCAAAGTTGAATTAAATTATGGTAGCAATGTGTAATATATTGTTTGCTCAATAGTGCTGCTATTTTCTCTGACTGTCCTGCTTGTCGCATGGTGATACTAGCATTCATTTGATTAATACCATCTTTTGAGCAAACATCATACTTAAAATGTATATATATATTTGGCACCCTCTGTATATGTAATAGTAGGTCTTTTGCATTTTTTGCAACATAAGGAAATTGATACTTATATTTTCTATGGTAGTAACTTTCTTTTTGCCTAAATTTCCTCCTTTAATTTCATGTAATAATCTTACATTATTCTATTCTTTAAATTCCCCTTATCAGAACCCTAGTTCTCTTGCTGAAGTACTTAAATAGTTCTGCCTAGAGCCTTTCCTTCCTTTTCTACAGAAGACTGTCAGATTAAACGTCCTTAATCTATATAAGGTCCCCTTCTGAAAACCTTTTGTAGCTCCCATTTTCTATAGAATTTGTCCAATTGTTGGCCAGGCTTTCAGGACCATCTATTTCTTAGCTTCAGTCCAACTTTTCAGTTTTCTCTTTTACTATTTTTTCCCCTAAATTTTTTTTTTTTTTGAGTTGGAGTCTCACTCTGTCGCCCAGACTG